TAGCCTCAGTTATATAAAGACTCCCTTGGCATGTGATTTTCGGCTTATGCATTCTAAGAGAAACCCTAGCCGAAAATTATAGTGTTTTACCCTCTTTTTCACTCATTCTTTGCTTTTGGTGTTTGTGATTCCATTAGAGGTGTAACACGTGAGGCACTAAGGCTTTCGAGAGGCAAGATCATTTGTGGAATACTTGTTATTACGATATAGCAAGCAAGGTAACATTCTAACCCTATTTTCATATAGATCTCGAATTTTGTATGCTAGTATTAGGGTTATTGCTTTGGAACTTCTATTTGCATGTATAACTAGAGGAAAACTTAGATCCAAATCATTAGGGTTTCACGAACACATAAGAATGTTGTTATGCTCAAAACCCATCACAACCGGTATCAGAATAAGAAAGTAGAGAAGTGACATTAGTTGGTGAAAATGCAGACAATGATTAAGGGTGCCATTGAGATATCGCAAAATTCGTTTAACCGCTTGCCAATGATGAACAATTGGAGAATGCATATATTGGCATACTTGATTTACAGCGAAAGCAATGTCAGGACGTGTGATCGTATCATATTGAAGTGAACCCACCACTTTTCTATAGAGTTTTGGATCAAAGAACGGATCACACGTGTGTTTTTGTTAAAATATCTCTAATGTAACCTTCTTGACTTACAGTCACAATAGAGGATTTTTGAGTAATTTGAATACCCAGAAAAAAATGTAACTCCCCCAAATCTTTTAGTGAAAAAGCCTTGTGTATTCGATGAATGAAATTTTGAATTATATTCACATTTGTATTTGTGAAAGTCAGATCATCAACATAGACAAGAATATAAATAATGGATTTTTTGGATGTGTGTGCAAACAATGAAGTATCTGATTGACAAACCCTTGTTGGATAAGATAAGTTTTGAGCTTATTAAACAAGGATAATTGTGCTTGTTTAAGGCCATAAATCACCTTATTCAAGCGACAAACATGAGACGGATATGTGGAGTTTTCAAAGCCTCTTGGTTGCCGCATGTAGACATCTTCTAGTAAATCACCATTAAGGAATGCATTATTAATGTCTAGTTGAAGAATACACCACTGATTTGAGATTGCAATAGATAACACCAATCAAATCGTTGTGGGTTTGATAACGAGACTGAATGTCTCAAAGTAATTGATACCTTCCTCTTGACTATATCGCTGCGCAACTAAATGAGCCGTGTATTGCTCAATTGAGTCGTCTAACTTTCTTTTGAACCGATAAATCCATTTGCAACCTACAACATTCAAATTAGAAGGACATAGAACCAGTGACCAGATTCTATTCCTCATAAGAGCATCAAATTCCTTATTCATTGCCTATTGCCAACACGGAGATTTAACAGCTTGTTTAAAGGTTGAGGGTTCAATGGTGAGAGTAGAGGATAAAGAAGATGAAAACACTTCTGGCTTGAGCGAATTTGTTCAATATCGAGTTACCTTGTGGTGGTGATTGTTCACAGCAGGTCTATAATGAGAAGGAGTATACAGTGTTGGTGAGCATGAGACCTAATGGTAGAGTTTTGATAATGAGGATTGAGACTGAGAGAAGAAGAGGAGAATGAAGACGGGGTGTTGCTTATATTTTGTGTAGGTGTGGGTGTATGAAGTAGGGAATATGTTATTGTAATAGGTAAAGTAGCAGCTTATTGAAGAATGAGGGAAGTTACCAGAGAAGACGAAGGAATGGGAGTAGGATTAGGTGTTGGTGATGTAGATGTGGAGTAAGGGAAGACATCTTCGTTAAAGACCACATGTCGAGCTATATAGATATGAGATGATGGCTGGTGGAAGCACAAATATCCTTTGTGAGAAGCACTGTACCCAATGAACACACATGGTTTAGAATGAAAGTCAATTTTATGTGAGTTATAAGGACGTAGAAACAAAAAACACAAACACCCAATTGTTTTCGGAAACCCATAATTAGGAATTTTAGAGTACAACTTTTGATAAAGAGATTGAAAAGCAAGCAGAGGTGTGATTGTACGGTTGTGTAAGTATATTGGAGTCTTGAATGCATGTTCCACTACAAGAAAAACACGATTTTGCTAGGGAAGGTTACTATGGAATGTATTTTCGTTGTTAATCTGCAATGGATCGTGCTATAGAATGTCGTTTCATAGCAATGATGCTACCACATTGTCTACGGATTTTATTTCTGGTAGCGAGAGTGGGAGTTGCTAGGGAAAATGCTACCGACTCCATATTTGTTTGTATTATGCTACCAATAGTTCTATGGAACAAAAATTCGTAGCAATTTTCCAACGACATTTGTTACCAAATCAATTTCTGTTGTACTGCTGTTATGGAATTCATCATCGTGGTTACTATGCAACAGAGTTTATGAAGAAAACCAATTCATAGTTCAATTGCTACGGAGGTACCATTCATAGGTATTTTCTAGGGAATTCTGTTATGGAATATGATTTCGTTTGCTTGCTTTGCTATGGAACAAAACGCGTAGCTAATTGGTGATGGCATTTGTTGGGATGTTGTATGCTTAATTAATCTTCTTATACTATGGATGAATTATTATTATGATCAATGGAATTTGTAAGATATGGTTTGAATGAAATGTTTTTGAATTGGTAATATGGGGGCATAAACTAATTGAAAAAAATGTAAAAATAAATTATAAAGTAGATTTTGCTGGCAAGCAGATTCGAACTTAAGCTTATGCTAGAAAAGGGCGCGGTTAAGCCAGTTGTGCTAATCAAGTTGTGTATAATTTCTTGAAAACATAGTATAGAATGAATAATTAACAACGAATTCATTACAAAGTTATTTTTAATTACATTAACCATGAATGTTAAAGTATATATAATCTATGTAGAATAATTCCTTAGTAACGAATTCATTACAAACTTATTTTTAATTACATTAACTATACTTCATCACAAAAATAACATGGGTTTTACATATGCTTCATCATACTCAAACAACATAGCAAGCAAAAATGACTAAAATGCCCTTTTAACAGAACGGTGTAAACACAAAACCAAAATAAAATTATAGTAGTACTATACAACTTCATATACAATACAATAAGATCACTAATATTCAATGTCCATTCTATTATCAACCATTAATATTTTTAAGAAATATACAAAATCTACCATACTCTACATACCAACGACAAACCGTCCAATATCTTTTTCGATCCTCATCCTCTTCATGGCCTATTGCCAATGCACCTTTAACAGAATTGCCATAATAAAATCACTCATCTTGTTGTCAATGCACCTTTAACAGAATTGTCTCAACAAAGTCATTCCTAATTCAAAATTGCCATAATAAAATCACTCATCTTGTTGACAGAATAACAATATCAATATATAACATCAATGACACTAAATATTAATAAATGGTATAGATTACATATAATTACTGAAACTACACATACAATTCCTTGTCTGAACACGACTTCAATGTTATTATGCAATGCATATGTGCATATAAATAAATCAACTTTCAGATTTTTTGGACCCATTCCTTCAAACATGTCAATGCATGCCGTTCTGTACACTTGAGGATCACCCTTGCTTCGTACATCTTCTTTGAACTTCAAAATTTTAAATACACAGTAAAATAACAAACAAATAAAGTTTTATTTCATCAAATATACATTCATTAGTTGATGTTTATTGAGAATTACCAAAGTCTTGCAGAGACGATGTCTTTCGCAGATTCCGACCCTAATACTACAAATATCTGACTCAAAAGCTCTAGTGGGAGATCATCTAACGAACGACGACTTCTAGTATTCGACATTCTACTTACAAAATACACATTGGAGTAGTTGATTTCATTCTTTTTCAAAAATTAAGCGTAACTATGAAAGACTGTGTAACAGGGTATGGAAAAAAACTTACTTTAAGCTGATCTGGTCGAGAGGAGTATAGGATTCTCTATTATCGGAGAAAATCATTTTTGAGAACGATTATCCTTCGACGATTTGGGGGTTTTAGTGTTTGTATGCAAATTTATCGTCCGGAAAAGCTGAGATGTTCTGAATGGTTGAAGAACTGGAACACCGGTGTGACGTCAGGGGTATGATGACGCCTTAACAATTTAGAGTGCAAAAAGACCAAATTGCCCTTGAAATCATTCCAAATATTTGAATACTAAGGGTATTTGTGTCAAAACACATATTCAAATATTATAGGATTTTATAGCTAGGTAACATTGGACTTTTGATTGTTGAAATGAAAAAGACCAAAATAACATATATATCATAATTCATAATGTAGTATATTTATATTAACATTTCATCAAATTACTAGTATATATTCATGTAGTAATAAACATATTAAAAGTGGAACAAGATTTGAACAGTAAACTTATTTACTTTAGATTTTAGACACAATAATTTTCTTTTGTTGCCACTTTTAGTCCCTATGTTTATAGTAACTTTTTTTTACTTTGATTTTAGCCACAATACTTTTTCTTTGTTGCCACTTTTAATCTCTATGTTTATTCCTTTACAATTTTACCCTATGCAAAGCATGGGTTCTCCACTTATTGATATTAAACCAAATTACCCAGTCCAAAATAAAATACATGTTTGTTTATGCCTTTACAATTGTATTTTATATGTATTTAATACTAGGAAAGAACAAACATTTGCTACATACAACTATAATCACAATGCAATATAAACACTAATATTAAAAGTCCAAAATACATTATTCAAACATTATTTAAACATCATTCAAAAATTATTACAAACTTTAACTCTTTTAGTCCCTTATTAACAACACATCATATTTACTAATCAAGTAACAACATCAAATAATTACTTATCAAGTAAATTACTATATATTCATATATTAAACCAAAAGAATCTACAAAGCATTAATTGTCATAATATGAAAGTACATATCAACAAACTACTCATAAATTATACCAAGCTCCCTAGAAAACCTAACGAAACAAGCATCCCAAAAACAAATTTCACACATAAACACTCATTTGTATCCATTCACAAAAGCGTCTGACACACTAACTACAGACTTATGCAATGCACAAGATCTACAGAAGCCATGGAAGTGTACAAGTTTCCTCCCCTCCCTATTTAAGGGGATATGAACCTTAGAACAAGTTGCTCTAAGATTCAACTTACCATTTTCTCTGCAGTAAGCATTGTTCAATATGTCTAAAGCTTCCTGCTTCCTATGTCTCCCTTCAACCATCAACATCATTCCCAGGAGAAATGTTGAATCCAAATGTCCCAATGAAGATGCTTCTTCAAGCATCGTTTTCCCTTCATGTTCAGCTTCTAAGAAAAATAACTCCATTTGAAAAAACATTAAACATATAATCTCTAGTTAAAGTTATGAAAAACAAGTAACAAATTAATTACTACTATGCATATATATAACAACGTACCAATACATTCCTGAATAGAATATTTGGGTTTCTCATCTCTATGCATTTATTGACAGTTGCATGTGTCTGGTCAAACCAAACACGGAATCGTAATCCATCTAACTCCATATGTTTATATACTTCATCCGTTTTTCCTGTCTCATTGAAGAATCTGCAACTGCAAATGAAACACAATATTCGCTCCATAATGTAAAGACAACTCAAATACACTTGTGAAATAGAATGATCAAAGGCAAAACTTACACATTCTTCATCTTGAAAGCCTCGAGTGTTGAAATTTTTGCCAAGTTGACTATTATTTTCTCCATCACTTCAAATGGCATGTGTGTTAGCGATTTCATTTGATTTCTTGATTCATTCTTTAAAGAAGTATTGGCTTCCATAATAATAAACATTCACTAAGATAACGATTATGCGAAAATGATTTTAGGGTTTTTTTACTGTCAGAATTATGAAATTGGGTTGTTTGCAAGTGACTGAAATACGAGTGAAGAACTGAAACAACGTGTTTCGTCGGAAAACATTATGGCACCTAGAAGATGTTCCATTATAAAATAACCAAATTGTCCTAACACATACAATGACTCGTATTTAATTAGTAAGGGTAGTTTTGTAAAAATTCATAGTTAAAAGAAAAAAAAATCAATTTCTATTTTAATAAAGGTTGTAAAAATCGCTCGTCCGTCACTCGACAGTCGACTGACGATAAACGATTAATCAGACTCAGCGGGGATTAATTGGGGACCCTAAATTATTAATAAAGTTATTTAAAAAATTAATATTTCCTACAAAATTAAGTATTTGAAAATTTTAAATTTTAATACACAACCAGCACAAATGATATGTTGACCAATGACCCATATGTCATCCATATGTTAACCACGGAAACCATAAGCAACTACCATGTTGACCAATTACCCGTATTTCATCCATGGTCCACCATAAGCAACTACCATGTTGACTAATGGCCCATATGTCATCCATGGACACCATAGCAACTACCATGTTGACCGATCACCCATATTTCATCAATGGTACACCATAAGCAACTACTTTGTTGACCAATGGCCCATATGTCATCCTTGGACACCATAAGCAACTACCATGTTGACCAATGACTCTTATTTCATCCATGGTACACCATAAGAAACTACTATGCTGACCAATGACCTGTATTTCATCCATGGGTGATACCATCACACCATAAGCAACTACCATGTTGACCAATGACCCATATGTCCTCCATGGACACCACAATCGACTAACATGTGGACCAATGACATGTATTTCATCCATGGACACCATAAGCAACTACCATATTGACCAATGGCCCATATGTCATCCATATGTCATCCATTGACACCATAATCAACTACCATGTTGACCAATGACCCGTATTTCATCCATGGACACCATAAGCCATTATCATGTGGACTAATGGCCCATATATGTCATCCATATGTCAACCATGGACACCATAAGCCATTACCATGTAGACCATTCAACCATATGTCATCCATGGACACAATAAGCCACTACCATGTCGACCAATGACCCATATGTCATCCATGGACACCATAAGCCACTATCATATATATTGACATGACCTGTACGTCTTTTTTATATAAATTTCAGTTTAAACAGAAAAGAATAAAGATGTATAGTTTATTAATGTTTAGTCCTCGTATATAACTTTAAGTTAAAATTATACTATGAACACATAGTTACTCTATGTTCTTTCTTGACATTATTTATATGTATATACCCTATTTATCAGTCTGTAACTACTTTAAATAAATTTGAATTACTATATATTTAGCGGTAATTAGCACAGTTCGAATTTTTTATTAGCGGAGGTTTAAAGCATTTCACAATTTGTTTCCCTCCAACCCACACACGTTTATGCTGCATATTAGGGTAATTAAGTTTACCGATTAGAAATAGGGTTTACATTTTTTGTAATCATCATCTTCGGCGGCTTATTGATCGAAATCTTTGTTCATTATATGTTTGTGCACTGACTTTGTCGATATAGGTTGTCACTCGTCTAAATTTATATATTTATTTAATTTATTGTTATCATGATGATCGATTATTTTTTTTGTCTGGTCATCTTCTTGTAAATTGGTTTTGATTGTATTCAATAATTTGTATGCGAAGTAATTCCTTCATATATAATTTATTTTTATTGTTTGTGTCAGAAAGATGTCGACCCTGAAACCAAAAAGAGCATCCGGTGTGAAGCCAACTAAATTCATTGCACCACAAGTTATAAAACGACATGATTTCTACTGCAAAATTCCTAAATAGACAGTTACAAGATGAAGAAATCGATTTGCCAATACCAACAAACACATCCAAAGCACCTATAACATCTACCAACAAAACCCCTAAACCTATATATTAACATCACCCATGACTACCACTTCCTCGGCATCACTTAAAACATCCACACCCTCCTTAGAAAAAAATATTTAAAACTTCAGAAACTGGAACAATACAATCGTCAACACGAACATCAATAACGAAAACTTTAGAACCTACATTATCTAAACCATCCTCAACACCAACACCCACTACCACATCATCAACACCTATATCTACTACCACAACCTCAAAACCTGCATCTACACTACCATCCTCCACAACTACAATAACTACCACATCCTCCTTAAGTAAAGGAACTACCATATCCTCAACATATACATATATCCCAACACCTACCCTAGAATATAACCCATCAACAACACCTATCCCATAATCTACCCCATCACCAACACAACCACCCATGAATGGATCTGTAGTGGAAAGTGTAGAAGGTGAAAACAATTCCTTAGAAGATTGTGGACCAGATGGACGTTTTAATGTTCATGTTTCGAAAAATACGTGAGTTACCAATTCAAATCTTAATTACAACTTTTTTTATGTATTAAATTTTGGTTTACACCTACATATCAATTCATAACTTAACACATCACATGATTACTTGAAGGCTAATGCAACCAGGCCATTGTGCACACGCTATTAGTCAGTCCTTTAAAAAAAGAGTAGATCTAGAAGGGTACGCTTGGGGACAAGTAAGCAAATAAATGCGCAAAATATATTGGGAGGAGTTTCAGGTAACTATAAGTCATAAATTGTTGTTCGGTAAATATTTACACTTCAACTTATGTTTATATTGTTAATGTGTAGAAAAAATGTTGTTGGGATGAGACAATACACTCGCTGGTGAGGCAAGCTTGGCAAGGAAAGTGGCACAAAGTTATGGTCAATATCTCTTCAACATGAGGAGCCTAAAAAGAATAGGCGTAATGGTGTAGCTGATGGAGTAGCAAAACCCACACATAACACTGGATCCGCATGTCATTTGAAGATAGCTTTTGATTTGGTAATTTTTTAAATGGTACATCATATCAATGTTTGCATATGTTTATCTGTATATTTGACTTTTATATGGTAATTATGCAGAAGAGGAAATTAGGACATGAGCCACCCCCATAGTGAATTATTCCTGTATATACACAGTAAGAATCATGATGGAGTCACTTTCACAAATGAAAAAGATAGACAAATTCATGTAATATTCATTTCAGTTTAAATTAACTTTTATATTGTAGCTACTCCATAATATCATTCCTAAATTTGATATCTTTTAACTTATAATATTTTTATTTTGTAGGCGGCTTATAAAGAAAAACAGGAAGACTTAGAAGCTGAAGGTGTTGAATTTGAGGACGACAAACTATTTTATGATGTTGTTTGTGGTCATGATAAAAAAAAAGCCTTTATGGATTAGGCTATTTTGCAAAGGCGGTTCCCAATAGGAATGGTAAAATAGATGTATCTTACATTCCGGAAATAATCATGAAATACAAGAAATGAGGGAGTTTGTTGCTAAACAAAAACAGCAAATCGAAGAGCTTAAAGAAATGACGAACACCCAACAAGAGGAAAACAAAGCAATAGTTGGGCATCTTGAAAAACAACTTCAAACGACATTGGATCTTATTAATTTCGTTACAAAACAACAAAAGTAGTAGGTTGATATAAGTTTATTGAAGATTATGTATTTTAGAGTAGCAACTTTGTTTTTTCCATGTAATAAATAATTATTTTGTTATTTTATGATATAATGGTTATGAGTTTTTTGTTTTTTCATATATTACTACAAAATTATTTAGATATAATTTATAAATCAATAAACAATCAGTTCATATTGAATCTGGTATAAAATATAATGACCACTAAAATTGCCAGGGATTCATGACCACGAAATTTGCTAAGAGATCATCAAACCGATTTAGCTAGGGATTCATCACCACGAATTTAGCTAGAGATTCATCACCACAGATTTAGCTAGGGATTCATCACCACAGATTTAGCTAGGGATTCATTACCAGGGATTTTTCTAGGGATTAACTACAACAGAATTTATGACGTAAGAATTACCACATAATTTTTGATGGAAACCTACTACGGAATACACGATGCAACACCACCTACCACAAATTTCATTCCGTTATCACAATTGTGACATAATTATCGTTTCCATTGCAAACTCCTCGCTATGACGTTTTTAGGGACGAAAATAGTTCGTTGCAAATTCCATCTCTATTCATATTTTGCAATAGAATTTCAACTTTTCGCAACAGATACCTTCCATAGCAAAATCACGTTTTTCTTGTAGTGCTCCCAAAAGGGATTAGGTAGAGAAGAATGAGCAAGAAGCGTGAGACCTTTCTCAACTATGACACGATTGTGTCTCTCAATCGCCCCATTCTTTTCTTGGGTGTATGGGCAAGAAACACGATGAGTGATCCCATGTGTGGTTAGATAGGAGGAGAAGGGGCGATATTCACCTCCCCAGTCGGATTGAATAACTTAGATTTCGGTCGAAAATTGTGTTTTA